CTATTTCAATAATACATAAACTCGGATAAAGTTTCTACTCCATCAGCCACCATAAGTCTGATATGAAGAGCCGTTTCTTGAGTTATACTCACTTCCTACTTTGACTCGTGACCTTTCAACTTCGGCCCGTAAGACACTTCTGCAACCAATGATCGTCAATTAATTAATCACGTGAAACACTGTGGAAGGACATTAAGAGATGGGTGTTGAAAGCGGGTAACAGAAAGCACCCTTACTGCCACTATTTAGTCGCTACCTCTTCCTACAAAGTCATCCTGACTATCGCACAGTGTATACCATGTTTTATGTATAGATGTATTAAATTCTTAAAACTTATACAAAACTTTTGATGAAGTAATAATGAATTCTGTAGTAATATGGTATGTTATAAAATAAATCAACTGAGTGAAAATTGGAATTTTGTGTTATTTATCATAGCATCCACCCCCACATTTTTTTAAAGTTAATAACCCGGACACAGAAGGGGTACCTCAGCTTGTTCTTGATAAATATAAAAGTCACTGATCGATATACAGACTGATTACTTTCTGATAATGTGTAACGTACTATGCGAAAAAGGCTAATTTACAGGGGTGAAGTAAATAAAATATTTTTAAACAATATAATCGGGAATTAGTAACTTACTGAATGTCACAGGCTGAAGGTTCAGCAAACGCATACCTAAAGAAAACTAATTCATCGATTTGTGATAAATCATTCAATACGCTAGTCTTTAGTGCATTTTAAGAGAAGAAATACAATATCACTATTCCAAACTTGTATTTTTAAGGCCTTCAGAAATAATGAAAATTTATGATAACAACCAGGTATACTAAGAAGTTTCATGAAGGAATGAAGAACATCAGATATGTTTTTACCACGTTTGTAAGGCGTTAACCCGTATTATCATGAGAAATTAATCACTTGTAAGTAGTATACGATTGTCTGTTCTAACCTTGTAAGTTAAAGTTATAACTACAAAACAAATTATACAAAAATAATTAGGGCAAAATTGAATTTATTTATAAAGCAAAATGCAAATGATCAAGCTCTCATCCCATTGTTAATATTTTGTTACTGTTCGACTACTGGGAATGCTTTTGTACACTTCATTATAGCAGTTACATATGAAAATTAAATTGTGTGTTTCAGTACATCAAAGACAATACATTCAAACACATAAATAATATACAATTTGTAATTGCTATACACTATACAGTATGTCTTAAGATTTCAGTAGGCAATGGAATAATGATCAGGAATCCTCCTATCTTACGATCTTTCTAAGAAAACAAAACAATACTAAAACGAAAACAGGTACAAAAATATTTTATTTACACTTTTGTATTTTTGGCCACTTTTCTGAGTTTTCCAAGGAAAGGTCAGAAAATGAATAAAATCATTAAATATATTTTATCGGTTCACTTAAATCAGTATTTCAATATTAAAAAGGCTATCTTTATATATATATATATATATATATATATTCCATATCAAAAATTAAATTTTTAAACCTATTAAACATTTCGATATGAAATACCAGATTCATTGTATCTATAATAACAATAAAGTAATAAAAAAGCTAAACAAAAAACAGAGGCGTGCAAGAACTTATTCATAAAATTTAGTGTATTATAAATGAGCGCTAATATATTTACATAAGAAACAGATGTTTTCTTAACATTATAAATAATAAACATTTTGTAAGGAATATTACATATTACAGTGTGAAATGACATATTCATTTTACAATATAATCCTGAGGAAAGCAACAGAAGCCGCCAAAACGTCTGGCTTTTATTTTGTCAGTTTGTCTCATTAACTTAGTATTTTAGATCAGTGTACGCAAAGTTTTTTATATTAATAATATTTTTAGTAACAGCTAATTAAATACAAACCTGAAATCAACATTGTGTATAAACTAAGAGGATACTTCCTATACTGAAATGTTGAAATAATACAAACGATTTATATCTGTAATATGTATTTAATGAGCCTTTCTTTCGTTCATTATTTATTTTTCAATTAATGTTAGTTGGTACATTGATAAGCTCCACACCACACTGAGCAAGGCGACTTTGTTCATCATTTGTGTGTCAACTTTCGAACGTTTTTCTGTTTATTAATTTATAATTATTATACATTTTTAGTATTGAAGAATTAGAGTCACAGTTAATGAACTCTCATCTCACGATAACAAACATTTTAGATAAAGCATTAAATATTTTAAGATTGATACTTTATTAGGCTCTAGTTATGAATTACTCCTAAAGAACTTTGAATGTAAAAACCTTCTCTACCATTAGTTTTTTAAAGAGTCAATAGATGTGTATAGTTCAGTATCATATCTACATAAACAGTAATTTACCACACTTAGTAATGTATCATATCGTGTACTCCACAACTTAACATAATGTTTGTAAATAATCTAGCTATATATTATTCATGTTATTCTAACTGTTGGAAACCAAAAGATAAAGGTGTGGGGAGGCATGATTTATCATAATGGATTTGAAATACATAGTTACAAACACACCAATAGAGTATACTCTACTTTAGTCTTGATATAATATACCTCAAAGTAAATTGTATTGTAATTAATCAAGTTTAATAATTTGCCAACTATTAAAAACATGAGATACATTTGTATCTATATATTTATATGTAGATATATTTCACCCCTTCTACAGTTTTACTAATTCCCTTTTATCATGATTCTGATCAAACATTCCCAGCAACTGTTTTGATTATTATAATTTTAGTGAGTTTTATATGTCGTATTTAAAATTGTAGTAATGTACATAAATTTCTTAATTTGTTTTGGTTACTTTTGATGGTTATACCACTTGTATTTAGTGTGGTTGGTCAAAAAATGGATAAGGTTGGGAAAAATCGACAACATGAATAAAATGAGACTAAAATTATGAGATTCTTAATATTAAAGGAGAATATTTAGAATTATCTTAGAAAAGAATCGTTTAAGTTTCGTAAATATTGTTTTCTTAAAATTTCATTTCTAGAAGTTATATAATATTATTATGCAGATGTAAGGTAACGTAATAAAGATAGTAATCAGACAGAACTAAACCGTAAGTAAAAGTTTTAAAACAATACTTATGCATATGTTAATTAAAATCTAAAGTACTACATATACATTATGCTCTTTACAAAGATCATAAAAGACTGTCAGAGCAATAGTATTTTTATTTTAGTATTATGTAATATTTCTGTATGTGCTTTAAACTATAATGTGTTATTTTTAGATAGCTAAATGTTTGTTACTAAGTATAGCGGTTTGGATATGAGTTCAAATACTAAGTAAAATAAAAACAACTGAAATGAATGATTTGTTGTTATTAACCAAAAACATTACTTAGATTCTTCTTTGATTTAAGTGGTTAGTTCGCGATCAAGAAATTAATTCTGTGTCCCTACAAGGAAATTTGGTAAATAATTAATAATTATTATAGTTCAAGGGTTAACAGTAAATTGACATAAACAGCTGTTACTTAGTAATATACTGATAGATATTTGCATAGAAATAATGAATTTTTGGTTAAAACGTTTAACACTTAGCCCATTTTTGTAGCTATCAACAGTTTATCTGTTTTAACTAAATACAAAAAAAACAACAGCTGGTTCAATGGAAAAAGTTGAAAAAAACATTTTCTCTGACAAGTTTTTTTTTTTTAGAAAGAAAGCGGAACAAATTGATCATTGGAAATTGTCAGAAAGTTGCGCTTATGATTGTATTTTCTAATGATATATTTAACTTGTACTGTTATTTGAAAATTGTGAAAGTTGCAGCTCTCTTTACATACAAATTCTAAAAAAGTAGCATAATGATTTTAGGTTTCTTTGCCATTTCCAATTATTCATTAGTTATCGTGATGGCGTAAGATGGCAGCACTAACACTAAGTGTAAAACATAAAAGCGTCAATTTTCTAACTGTAAATGACTGATTTATTTTTCTGTAGAACTGGTAACAATACCCAAGTGGAGTTCTATTCCTCGTAATGTTGACATGTTAAAACTATTGAAATATGATAATCATACTTCAATTCTCTTGTTGATTCATTGAGCTTAAGCGACGTAATAGACCCATATTACAAGTTACCTCGTTGTGCATGTAAAATTATACACATTATATATATATATATTTGGGGAAAATGACATAGAACATTAGGGCTATAGGAGTTGCTAGTAGGACACGATAATATTAATATGACTCTTGTTTAGAACAGAATACCTTATAAAACAGTCATAACGAGAGTCTAACTCCTACAGATTTTGTTGTATCCAAAGTAAAGTCATACTTCTAAATCGGCTTACAGTTTTGTTTAGAAACGTTAATGCAAAGCAACGTCACTGCTTATATTTTATTCCAAATTTAATGTTTGGTTCGTTTCGAAGTTGTTTTTAAAACATGGTCTTTAAAATTACAAAGAAGGAGACTGAAGCAATTGTCAGCTAATACTGCCAGCAATGACTTATATGATTAGTATAGATGTGCAATAACATCATACGAACAATCGTTAATTCTCGAATTGCCAAATTTTAAGCTGTATTAATAAAAAAGTAACATAAAGGAAATATAATTTACAATGTATTATCTTATATGCAGTTTCAATATTTTCAAAACCTCATTTCATCGGTTAAAGACGAAAAGAGTTAATAACAGCTATCCAGGTTTTCTTGTAACCGAACTAATAACGGCTATTTAGGTTTTCTTGCAACTCAAAATGATAATGTATAATTATTTTGACGGAGAGTTTGACCTCAAACATTAGTTTAAAGTATGACTACCATAAAAGATCCAATTTCTTCCGTTGTGATTGTGATAAAGAAGAAAATTAAAATTACAACCACATTCCATAGCAGAGACACGAGAGAAATGACAATGTAATTTCTCCATTAGCTAAACATTACAACTGGGGTTTTTAAACTCCACATAGACTACCAATCAGTGATGCTGTTATAATAAGTTAACACAAATGGCTGGCTCTTAGTAGATTCGTGCGTATAGTTCATTGGTTAATGTATCTTCTGGGCATAATGTAGGAAGCAACATTAAATAACAGTTTGGCATACCAATGAATACCTTTCTGATAACTTTGGACTTCCCTTTGAAGAGACGAATTAGCAGACAGCATGTGGAGTCTCTGGAGTAAATGTAGTGTAGAGTCTTTAACATTCTCTATAAACCTCAGGGGAGCAAAAGACAAGTGAGCCAAATATTGGTAATTTAAAACAGCGTAACAAGACACCACAACATCGTCCACGATCAAATTTCCTTCATGCGTTAGAGGAGCAACTATCCCCACATCCAGAATCACGCTGACTGTCTTCACCCTCTGTAAGTACACATGAGGTTTTGCTGGTTTGAAGACCGAATTATCGGAGTATACATAAATAAAGTCTCCTGCCTGTACATTCTTTGCAAGAGTAGATTTCATAATTTTCCTTTCAGATATTGAGGAATTACTAGTGGCCATGAAAATAAGATGATTAGGAGTCAAGGTTACTCGAATGCCTGATTCCGTTTCAATGACGTAAAATTGTCGATGAGAGTCAACGTCACGATCCAGGAACAGTATAACCTCAGAAAACACTACTTTTGCGTCTCTGTCGACTGCTACAACCTCGTCTCCAATCTTAATCTCAGAAAGTTTTTTTGGTCCTTCTTTAGTCCTAACGATTCCATCACTATGAAAACATCCACCAGATTTGGCGGCTTCAGACGACTCTGCAAAAGAAAAAAAAATAAAATAAAACTGATCATATATCAATTCCCATCTTTCTTCCCCGCCTCCCCTCTCCCACGCTAGTTACACAGACAGATAACTTTTAACTGGACAATTGTTGCTCATAGCAGTGACACGCTGACAAATTTTATGGCTTTTCGAGTTGATAAATGGTATACCGTCACAGCGATGGTCTAATCAGACTAGTTACGTTGGTCGTGAATCCCCATCGTCAGTGGTTATCTGGCCCGTTAGGTATATTTTACCTCAAGCATTTTCCCACGTTCAAAAGTCTTAAAATTTGCAACACATTTCTAGCCTCCCTTCCCCAATTCCCGTTCCTAGATCACTGATTACTTTTTAGAGAAAGATTAGTTTACGATGAAGAAATTACTTTGTTTTCCAGTCTTTTGAACAATATATATATTGCAGCTATACAACATTTGCAATATGTAATGTTTATAAAATTGTAAAAGTTCACTGCTATTCAAGGCTGATATACAGATTATTATAATGTGGAATAACCTAGCTATATCGATACCTCAGATAAAAGTCGTAAGTCACAGTTATTTTCACGCATCATGTCAGACGAATAAAAAATCGACACTATTCTAGCAAAGGAAAAGTTAAAATTTGCAAATGTATTTTTCAGCTGGAGAAGATGTAAATATTTCAAGGTTATATATTTTCGTATTATATGTATATTTCTGTAATAGCTGATTGTATCTAATTGTTTCAAAGTATCTTAAATTTACACATTTCAGAGTCTCATAATACTCAAGATTAGTTTTTTTTATCATAAGTTGGGGTTGTCCATATGGTAGAGCTCTGAATTTCGGGAACTGGCGAGGCAGGCTATAATACGTGAGATTCCACAAAACAATCCCCAAATTTTAACCTGTGGGAGCGTTATAAGAGTGAGAGTCAATTCTTTAGCGTGGATGGTGGGCTATTGGGTACTGCTGCCTTTCTGCTGGTCATTAGTTCAAAATTAAGGATGGCAGTAGATAGCCTTAGTTCTTTTGTCATAAGTACAGAATACAAATGTACGTTATCATAAGTTTTGTATTCTTCGTGTTACATTTCTTCAACTCTATTTTGGATGAAAACAATCTCTTCTTTTGTTCTTCTGGATAAATAGATTTAAAACAGAGAAGTAATCCACCATTATTCAAGGGTTTCAACTTGCTAATGAAACCTGGCTCTTCTCACTAGTTATCTACAGTGTCATCGCTCAGTCTAATATCCGAATTAAAGTATATCCCACGAAATATCCTAAAATTCTATCAAAATTTTTCACCTGTGGTTTAATTGTTGTTTATGTAATTTTTATGAAAAGTTTGTTACACTTTTAACATTTTCATTGAAAATCCTAAAATCCTTGGTCAAATCCTGCAGCGTGATGAAAGCATATTTCGTATACAGGGGTTTCATTTACGCATGTATAGCGTGCGAAATTTAGACCGAAAATCTATCATGATTAATCAACGAAATTGCAATAGATTTTTTCTTAGATATGTATTTGTAACTAGTCTAGAATGCACATCAATATTTTTGATTTCCAGGAAACCAAAATCAGAAATAAAGTTGTTTTTAAGAATTTCAACTGGAATTTTCGAAACGTCTTGTTTATTGTCAAGTTCATTTCTAAGTTCCTTAAACTTTCGATTCTTTTAATTAGCAAGATTATTAGCTTTACTGTGGAAGTTTTAGTAACTATTTGTTAGATCAAGTTACATTGGTTTGTTTGAATTTATTACATACGCGAAAGAAACAAACCGTTACGTTATTATTACTTTACAACCATTGGTTAAATTGGGATCTTGAAAGAGGTAAAACTTCCTTTGGTGATACACATTGACATTCCAATATAGGAAACCCTTCATTAAAGACTGATTGAGAAAAAAATATTTACTGTCGAATTACATTTTTAAATTACAAATAAAAAAGTTTTTAAAGCTATTATTACGGTTCAGTGGTCTAACTCTTTTTAATATACACCTGGAAAAAAGTTAAGCACCCCCCAAATATTTTTCAGGATTGCTTATTGAAAATAAGGTTTAATTTTCATGATG